TTTCATATGCTTTTGATAATTTTCAACACTTTTACGAAAATCTGCCGATGCATCATCTGGATTTATATTCTTATAATCTAGTCCTGATGATTTCAAGCTCATATTTGCATCTAATACCTAAAAGGTTGATTTCCATGAAGAATTGAAGTATTCTTTAACCGAAAGACAGAAAAGAACAGGTGCTTTAATTATATTGATATGTGAAATAATAAAGACCAAAATATTGACGGTAAATATTTAAATAGAGCTTTATATGACTGATCTTCTAAGTGATCGAATGGAAAAAACGTCGTTCTAAAAACTGTTGAAACAGAATTGCAATAAAAGAAAACTAAAAATAATATAATAATGATAAATATTATAATATCATAAGATTGGGAAAGAATGATGGGCTATATAATCAGATTTGGGGGGGGGTATTTATTTGTTTATGTATTTTTAATTTTTAATTTTATAAATGACAATATAGAAAAATAAAAATAAAAAAAAATAAAGCTTTATAATAATAGAACCTTGGAAAACAAAATGCCAGATGTTAGTGATAACTTGGTAAATAAAAAAGTTTAAAACAATTATTTTTTATTTTTTTTTAATTCAATTGACGTATTTTCTTATTTTAATTTATTTAGTCAGCAACAACAGTTATAACAGCAACATCGCCAACAGTTGTTACTAGGCAGAAATATGAAGAAGTTCAAGCAGAGCTTGACGAATTGATGAAACAAAGAGAAAATCTAGAAGAAAGTTTGGTAAGATCACATTTTATTAGCATTATTAACACTTTAGTAGCTATCAACCACTAACGAATGACACGCACTCTCTTTCATACTATTCATTTATTAGTTGACGCTTGAAACCAGTATTTATTCATCTGAAGGTTCATATTTAGAAGAAAGTGGGAATCTTATTCGTGGATTTGATGGATATTTGAAACCTTCCTCGCAACAAGATAAAAAAAAGAAAGACATATCTAAAGAAGCTCGATTATTTTCTAATTCAAGTTCTTCTTCTAGAAAGGTAAATTATTGATATTTGTGTTAGTGTGAGAGAGTATATATGTAATTGAGCAAAATACATTAATCATATACACATATATATTTATATTTACAGCCAAGGCACGTAAAATGAAAGTCAAATTGTCATGGGAGTTGGTAAATTCATTTTCAGAGTATTTGAATGCAGATTCAGATGAGGAAGACGAGGAAGAATTAGATGCGTATAATGACTCGGTACAACGATTAAAGGATGCCGATGAAATTACAAAGGCAATGACACGAGATGAATATGTTCATTATTCAGAGTGTAGACAAGCATCATTCACATATCGTAAAGCGAAAAGGTTTCGAGAATGGGCAAACATGTCAGCCTATATTGACATGAAACCAAACGATGATATAATTGATATTTTGGGATTTTTGACATTTGAAATGGTTAGCAAATTGACAGAAACTGCTTTATTGGTCAAACAGGAAACAGATCGAGATTTTACCTCAAATAATTTAAATAATAAGTTGAATAAATTTAGACAAATGTATTTGCAAAATGGTTATGATGGCGAGAATGGAATTCATCTATTTTCCAAGCCACCACCAGAACAAACTCCTCTACAACCATCTCATATACACGAAGCATTTAGAAGATTACAAATGGACTCACAGCCAATGAAGATTTTCAGAGGTGGATTAAATAGAACCAAAGTCAGTTTAATCTAACCTAATTGATTGGGATTGTAGTAATATTAATATTAATAGTGATAATAATAGTAATAGTTAGCCGATAACATAATA